TTACTACAGTGACTATACCTTACATTAAAGGCACTTCTGAGACCATCTCACGGATCCTACAGCCCTACAACATTCTTGTAGCCCACAAACCTACAACTATGTTACGACACTTACTGACTAACGTGAAAGACAGGGACGAACCTAACAACAGACAGGGAGCAGTTTACAAGATCAAATGCTCCAACTGCCGAGCTTTCTATATTGGTGAGACTGGCAGAAATCTTAACAGGAGACTGACTGAACACAAACGAGCCAGGAGAAATGGTGATGCCAACAATCACATTGCTGTACATCATCAACTGACAAACCGCAGCATTGACTGGGACTCTGCTCAGTGCTTAACCTACAGTACAAACTATTTTCAACGACTGACTCTGGAAAGCTGGTACACTAACCTAGAAACAGATGTCTCAACAGATGTCAACAACTACCGGCGCCTTACAAACGGCTTATCCACGACGGAAACGAAACCGACAAACGGACTTCTACCAAAAACCGACCAATTCGACTAACAATAAGCGGATCGAAACCCACCAATGACAATGGTTCAACGGACCAGACTTATAACATCATCCACTGAAAAACACTATTCACTTGACTCTGAAGATGACTTCCACTCAGGTTGTCGAAACGTCAGTCACCAACAACAGTTCTTTTCAGAACTACACTCACCCGGACGATCACACTATACGAACTACTCAATTTTTAGTCACATTGGAGATCAGGGAGTTGCAAAAGAAACATTACTGAAGTTAAATACCCAACAGCTGGAGATAACAATGTGGTGTAAACGTGATGGCTCTGGCTTTCTTTGTAACTGCAAAAGGCTACAGAACTTAAAACTTACATGTAGTTTCTCTACGTATTATGACTGTTTTGAATTAAAACAACCAGATTATAATCCTATCTCCACATGTACCTGATGATGTTTGTGTCACAGTACTACCTGGAGCAACTGTTGTCTTAGACTGAAGCCATTTTGGTATGTGACCCTGTTTCACTTGGTCTCCTGTTTGGCTACCATCTACTGAAGGTTTGTCTTTACTAAGCCACTTTGGAATTTGCTTTTCTTGTGACTGTTGGCCATAAGTGACAGCTTGAGCTTGACTAGTTTTTGGAACTTTTTCCTGTAGCCATTTTGGAACTTGTTTCTTTTGAGCCTCAAGAGCTTTCTTTGCAGCTTCTTGTTTGACATCTTGTTCAGTTTTTTCAAGTTTTTCTTGTAACCATTTTGGCATCTTATTTTCTTCTTGTTGATTCCTTTCAGATGGTTGATGTTGATTTGACAAGCCTTGCTTAGCCTGCAACCATTTTGGAAGTTGTTTAGCACCACTGTCACTAACTGCAGTTCTCTGTTGTTGATTTGATACTGCCTTTGCAGGTGGCATCCACCTAGGGTTCTGTCCTGGTTGGCTTGACAATGTTGAGGTTTTGCCAGACTCCATCCAGTTTGGAAGCTGATTTTGTTGGATTGTAGCTTTGTGAGTTCCAATAGGCTTGTTTTGCATCAAGTCAGGAATGTTTGTTGGCAATGAAGCTTGATTGTTATTCTTAGAGTTCTGGTCACCATCACCTTTCTGATGTTGCATCCAGTTTGGTTTTTGCTGTTGTTCATGCTGTGATTTCCATGGTTGGTGTTGTTGCTGTTGGTATTGTCGGTTTTGGTTATGATAATTATGGCTTTGTTGCTGATTATACTGTTGATTTAGGCCTTGCTGATTTTGCATGGAAGTATTTTGAGACCATTGAGACTGAGATGGCTGACGGTGCTGCTGGTTTTGAAGAAGTTGTTGTTGTTGTTGTTGTTGGTAAGATGATTGTTGTTGTTGTTGTTGTTGTTGGTAAGATGATTGTTGTTGTTGTTGTTGTTGTTGTTGTTGTTGGTAAGGTGATTGTTGTTGTTGTTGTTGGTAAGATGATTGTTGTTGTTGTTGCTGTTGTTGTTGGTAAGGTAATTGTTGTTGTTGTTGGTAATGTGATTGTTGTTGATATTGTTCATATGACTGCTGTTGTCCTTGCTGGGCAGCAACAAAACTTTCCCCTGGATGATGTGGCTGTTGTTGTTTAATAGCCTGTCTTTGACCCTGTGAAGTCACAGTAGCTGTCACAGCATGCTGTTCAGTTGTCTGCTGATGTTGACCGTCTGCTGCTTTCATCTTTAACAGGGTTTGGTTATGTTGTTGCCATTGACTCATTTGCTTCTGCCATTCTTGATATTGTTTCTGATCAGGATGGTTTTGATGCTGTGCCTGCCACTGGGCATATTGCTGCTGCCACGCTGCATACTTCTCCTGGTACTGCTTCTGAGATTCAGAAATCTGTTGTTCAACCACTGTTGATGTGGGTGCCGGTTCAGGAGGTAAGGGAGGAGGGGCAGCAGCAGCAGAAGAATCGGATTGCTCCGGCGGTAATGGCGGTGGTTGTTCGTCGCTGACAGCCTGTTGGTTCTGAGGTTGGACTGCTGCTTGTTCGTGGACGGCTTGGCTGGGTTGAGCGGCCGTCGCGTAAAAGGTTTGTCCTGTGAGGCTTGTCGCCACATACTGTGCTCCAGCGACTTGTGGATATCCTTGTAAAGAATATTGTCCTGTATTGGCAGGTGTTTGGTGATTTTGATAGCCTATTGTTCCGTATTGAGCATACTGCTGAGGAGTCTGGTAAGCCGTTTGCGGTTGAGTGGAAGGTTGTTGTTGAATGTAGTAATACGGCTGTTGTTGCGGGTAGTGGGCTTGGTATTGATACTGCTGTTGTTGTTGCTGCTGCTGTTGTTGTAATTGTGCTTGTTGATACGCGTACGGATTCATTTTCCGTCACGTTACAAGCTAATAACTAAAGATGTTTTCGGCTAACTCATTTTCAGGCAAGATGGCGACCATGCGCGAATCTTTGACAAAAAATAGTAGCCTAGCCTTCGAGCTTAGCATCCGGGTCTTCTCAAAAATTATTCGAAAATGGCGGATGTTAGGGAGCGACTTGAGAAACGGAACGAAGAACGATTGGCAGCCATTGAAAGACGTAAAGCTGATAAGGAAAGCAACGAACAGCCAACAGAAACAATAGAATATATCACATCTACTTTCGCCAAGGAGAAGGGAGCAATAGAGGAACAGCTAGGTAAAAGGGCAGAACTGATAGAAGCTGGCAATAAAATGAAGGCGGTAGAATTCTTCGATTGCTTGTCAGATAAGTGCCAAAAACTCCAAAAGTTTTTGGCGGATTCAACAATGTTTTTACCTTCTCGTGACATTCAAGTGTCACAGGACAGTTTAAAAGCGTTACAGCAAGAGATCAACGAGAAACGAGAAGAATACATACCAAAGAAGAAGTTTGCTTTCAAAGTGAGGAAAAAAGAGTCGTCGGTAAAAGAGGTGTGTGTCCATAAGATGTCTACGAGTGAGTTAAGCTTATCTAATACCTTAAACGCTATGCAGAGCTCCCAGGCAGCTTGTGAATTTTCAAGATTTTTGAAAGGGACTCAACAACAGAGGGAGTCATTTGTGGGGGGGGTGGGGGTGGGGGGAAGGTTCATAAATCAATAGCAAGTAGTAGCTAGAGGTTGTGACCCTCATCGAAAACCAAAAGAATCATAGCCCCTGGGAATCCTACTCCATTCCAAAAGGCCGCAAGCCTTTTGGTTAGCACTAAGAAATCAAGATCCCTGCAAGAAATAGTAATGTGAGCCAGAATTAGTCACAGTGGTTACTCGTTCTACACATGTTCAGAAATGTTATAATTATTTGAACTTGAATGTATGCACACAGTCATACTGGACCTCCTGTTTTTTTAGTTCATCCAGAGTGTCAAGCATTAGTCTATTTGGTCACCATTGACCAAAAACATGTAGACCCTGGGGACTAGATGAGCATGCATAGAACACTCAATCTGGATTCCAGCCCATCCTATTTCAGGGATCATGTTTTCCAGAGGCATCCACAGACTGTCTATCAAGACCCTCAACTGATACCCTCAATCAACACTTGATCGATACTCGATCATCTTTCCAGTCGACAGTCGATCGAGTGTCAATTAATTTTGGCAGACATGCCATTGAGTGTCAATACATATAAGTTGACACTCAGCTGACTATCAACAGACTTTTGATCATGTGTATGGAATAGAACCCAGATATAACAAATCCCTGTTCTAACAAACACATTTTCTGCATCCCTTGGCACTTTGTTATGTTGGAGATACCACTTATAATTTTTCTTCATGTTACACATAACATCTTGTGAAGTTGGGAAGATAGAGGGAGTACTATAATAATAAATACTTCTAAACCTTGTAAAAATATTGTTTGTTAGGAAGGACAAATCAAGCAAGAAATTAAGAACAAAGGGGATGCTCTGTCAGGTACAGAAAAAAAGATTGCAGATGCCAGTCTTGGTTTTCAAGGGGTTTCAGACGACACACTCACCATGGCTCCATCACAGGTCAAGAATCGAGACATCACACTTACAGATCTTCAGAACTGCAATATCATAATTTATGGAGCACCATCAGCCCTACTTATGAATAAGCTAAAGGACTGCACTGTGTTATGTGGACCAGTTTCTGGAGCTGTATTCATTGAAGACTGTCTCAGTTGCAAGTTTGTTTTTCCATGTCATCAGCTGCGGGTTCATAGCACCACAGACAGCCAGTTTTACCTTCATGTGACAAGCAGGGCCATTGTTGAGGATTGTTCCAATCTGGGCTTTGCTCCATTTAACTGGAAATATGAAAACCTGAAGAGTGACTTTGCGTCAGCAGGTCTTGATCCTTCAGAGAATAATTGGTCGCTAGTCAATGATTTTAATTGGTTGAAGGCTGATGAGCCTTCTCCTAACTGGTTCATAATAAGCGAGGATCAGCGTACAAACAATTGGACCTTGTAAGCTTTCAACTTCGGTGCTTTTAGTTTTAGTAGTCCATACTGTTATTCACAAAGCAAAATAAACTTGTTAATATTTACATTTTGTAAAAAATTCTGTCTTGTTTTTCTGTTCCTATTTTCAGCAACACTAGGTTTTAGGTCCATAATAATTCTTCTTGTGTTTTCCCTGGCTGATGAAGTGTTATTGTGGAGACATTCATCAGTCCATCCACCAATTCCTTGATCATGTTTTTCACTCTCCTCCTGCAGGATGACTGCATCCAAGTTTCCCGTCTCCCTCTTTGGTGTTATTTGGTTAGTTAGCAGGGTGTTGAACAGGAATTAGCATTAGTAACACTTCCTCAGTTGGTGGGTCAAAGTGTGGGGTTAATTCACATTAATGTTTACCTGTAGTAACTGGAATTCAATTGTGCATACTACCTGTGCTCTAAATTGCCTCTTTCAAAGCTCAATCAAACTTTCTTGAATCAACTAAGGGCTGCTTAATGCCCATGAGGTTTTTTCTATGGTGATTGACTTCTCATAAATGCAGTGACTCAAATCTAGGCATTGTTTTGTTTGTTTTTATTAATTCATACTAGTAAAAAATTCTACAGCCCTAAAACCTACTAATGCATCATGAATACTAACACCTTAGGGGATGCTCTGTCAGGTACAGAAAAAAAGATTGCAGATGCCAGTCTTGGTTTTCAAGGGGTTTCAGACGACACACTCACCATGGCTCCATCACAGGTCAAGAATCGAGACATCACACTTACAGATCTTCAGAACTGCAATATCATAATTTATGGAGCACCATCAGCCCTACTTATGAATAAGCTAAAGGACTGCACTGTGTTATGTGGACCAGTTTCTGGAGCTGTATTCATTGAAGACTGTCTCAGTTGCAAGTTTGTTTTTCCATGTCATCAGCTGCGGGTTCATAGCACCACAGACAGCCAGTTTTACCTTCATGTGACAAGCAGGGCCATTGTTGAGGATTGTTCCAATCTGGGCTTTGCTCCATTTAACTGGAAATATGAAAACCTGAAGAGTGACTTTGCGTCAGCAGGTCTTGATCCTTCAGAGAATAATTGGTCGCTAGTCAATGATTTTAATTGGTTGAAGGCTGATGAGCCTTCTCCTAACTGGTTCATAATAAGCGAGGATCAGCGTACAAACAATTGGACCTTGTAAGCTTTCAACTTCGGTGCTTTTAGTTTTAGTAGTCCATACTGTTATTCACAAAGCAAAATAAACTTGTTAATATTTACATTTTGTAAAAAATTCTGTCTTGTTTTTCTGTTCCTATTTTCAGCAACACTAGGTTTTAGGTCCATAATAATTCTTCTTGTGTTTTCCCTGGCTGATGAAGTGTTATTGTGGAGACATTCATCAGTCCATCCACCAATTCCTTGATCATGTTTTTCACTCTCCTCCTGCAGGATGACTGCATCCAAGTTTCCCGTCTCCCTCTTTGGTGTTATTTGGTTAGTTAGCAGGGTGTTGAACAGGAATTAGCATTAGTAACACTTCCTCAGTTGGTGGGTCAAAGTGTGGGGTTAATTCACATTAATGTTTACCTGTAGTAACTGGAATTCAATTGTGCATACTACCTGTGCTCTAAATTGCCTCTTTCAAAGCTCAATCAAACTTTCTTGAATCAACTAAGGGCTGCTTAATGCCCATGAGGTTTTTTCTATGGTGATTGACTTCTCATAAATGCAGTGACTCAAATCTAGGCATTGTTTTGTTTGTTTTTATTAATTCATACTAGTAAAAAATTCTACAGCCCTAAAACCTACTAATGCATCATGAATACTAACACCTTCTGCTATTTTGTATGATAACAGTGTTGGCTCAAGTCTCCTTTGCAAACATTATTTACGTTATCAAAACTCATCAACACATTATTTCCATGGCAACCCCAAAAAGACTAGGTTGACTACAGCACAATACTTGCCTTGTGAGAAACAATTTCACAAGATCAGTGTTAACAAAGTTCCAAAAATCTTCAGGCTTGCANATGGCAACCCCAAAAAGACTAGGTTGACTACAGCACAATACTTGCCTTGTGAGAAACAATTTCACAAGATCAGTGTTAACAAAGTTCCAAAAATCTTCAGGCTTGCAAGTTAGATAGATAGATAGATAGATAGATAACCTTTATTTTAAAACGATGAGTATTAAAGCTACATGAGCTTGTGGGGTCGTTTGCAGTTAACTAATTGCTAAGTAACTAAAAACTAAAAACTAGGGGTATTTCAGCTGGGAAAACTGGGGACTAATTTATTATTAATGTATTTTTATTACACCTCACTGCAGACCTTGTGATTCTTCTTAGTTTATCAGAACACTGCCATTCCAAAGTATTCTGCATGTGTTCTGATCGGTCAGTTTGGCATATTAGTATCCTATCTGCCCATATGCTGACCATAGCTAATGCTCACTTGAGTACAGATATATGCATTTTACCGCAAGGTTTTCCAAAGTTTTGAGTCCAGTTGCTAGAAAATGTACAAATGTCTTTAAGGTAGCAACAAAAGGTTTCACTATCTACCTTGAGAGGAAATAATTTAGTTAGCCTAAAGATGTTAAAGTGAAAGTTCTTTTGAAGCAAGAGTGCACGTCCAAACGCAACAACACAACATCAGTGTCTAAGTTTTGAGGTTTGGTTCTGGTTGTTTGGTTTGCATTTTGTTGATACTGTGAGGCAAAATGGTAAATGGTGTAGCAAGCACTATTGAGTTATGGACGTTCTTGGGAGATTAATAAGATAGAGTAGCTTTTGGCTATCACCTCGAGCAACTGTTATACTTCCTTTGTGCTTAACAACGACAGCCTCTTGCATCCCTGCCTCAATAGTGACCATTGGTTAAAAAAATGTTAACTAATATATGGAATATTGAGAGCAAATCAAACAATTAAATGTATCAAAGCAATATGCATGTCTCCTGAGTAAAAATATTCCAGCCTTGAATCACTTGGCTTTCAGTTTATAATGCTCATTTTATGATATTGAGAATTCTCTCAGTAAACTTCTCCTGACTGAATATTAGTACACCCAGCTGACTGGTACCCACTGCGGCTCGGTGCTGAGTGCCTCAATGCATTTCTTGAGCTCATTCAATGCATCATCCAGGTTTTCGTTTACAATAACCTTATCAAAATAATGTGCATAGTTGCTGTACAGTTTTTCAGATTCCTCCACAGTCCTTTGTAGATCTTCATCCTAATCAAAAAGCAAAAAGTTTATTCAATTTTGGTTGCATTAAAATTTACATTGAAGTGATGCTTTTTACTTTGCATTTCATTTCATTAAAAGTTCTTTTATTTTGTTTTGAAATGATCAAGTGCCTTATTATCTCATGCGTGGACTGAATTAACTTGCACTTGATATAAGAGTTTCATTCTCGTCCCCAGAGGCCGCACTCCTTTTGGTCAGCACCAAGAATCATGACCTCTGGCCAGACCCGATTTTCTGAGCATGCTCAGAGACACTGGAAGTCTGCGATTCATGGACTTCCCGTCAAATCTGGCAAATCTGATTGGCTAAGAATACAAAACAAATACTCTACGCATGCTTAGAAAATTGGGTCCGGCCAGAGGTCGCGATTCTTGGTGCTGACCCCAAGGAGCACAGCCTCTGGGAACAAGAATGAAAGAGTTTAAATTCTGGTCAATGGACATAAAGAGTGTTTGTCTGTCTACTGAGTACGAAAAACTATCCAATGATGAGAGGTGATAAATTCATTGTTGACATGGTGCTGCAACCAGGACTGAATGTTTACAAAAGAGGAGTATCTGACTAAAGGAGGTTCCACTTCAGTATTAAACTACATATCATAACAGCTGTATGTTTTCATCGGCATCAAACATTCAATGTGCAGTCAGTTAAACAGGAAAAGGAAATTCCAGTTGTTGAAGTTGAATAACAGCATCATGCAAGTGGGCTATTAGAGTTCTGTACTCACTGTTTGTTTCTTGGTAATAGTGCCCTCTGATGTGGCACGCTTATGAATCTCCACAAGAGTATCAACTGGTGGAGAGGCAATAAATACAACATATGGCATAAATTCTGGTGTCTTGAGGATCTTTAATGCCTGCAAATGAACCAAACAATCCCTGGTTAAAAGGTGAAAAGTACTCCAACAGTGTGTAATACAACAAATCTTATTCACAGTGAAACTGTTGGGTAGGACTGGAGGGAGAGGCTTCTAAGAATTAGGTGGTGGCTAAAGTTAATAATGATATTTCAACGGGAAGCTTTCTCACCCGTAGGTGATCTACAGAAAGGTCCCGATCCAAAATAACATTAAATTATTAAAACATAAATACACAAATTAAAAAATATATTAAAAATACAAAGGTAAATTATAGACTAATAGATTTAAAAAAATTACTGAAAATAAGTCCTCCTCCTCTTTAAAGTATACTTCAAAGATAACAAATCACTTTATAAATCAATACTTCTGCTGGAAAATTTTTGTAAACCACACATGACAAATTTTCCAAGAATATAATTCTCAATGCTTCTACATGTATAAAGATATCACAATGTTATTCTAAACTCTTACCGTTGGGTTAACATCCAGAATGCACATCTTTCCAGAGCGCATGACATCACGAATGCTATCAACCTTAGTTCCATACAGGNAGGTTCCACTTGGGTATTAAACTACATATCATAACAGATGTATGTTTTCATCGGCATCAAACATTCAATGTGCAGTCAGTTAAACAGAAAAAGGAAATTCCAGTTGTTGAAGTTGAATAACAGCATCATGCAAGTGGGCTATTAGAGTTCTGTACTCACTGTTTGTTTCTTGGTAATAGTGCCCTCTGATGTGGCACGCTTATGAATCTCCACAAGAGTATCAATTGGTGGAGAGGCAATAAATACAACATATGGCATAAATTCTGGTGTCTTGAGGATCTTCAATGCCTGCAAATGAACCAAACAATCCCTGATTAAAAGGTGAAAAGTACTCCAACAGTGTGTAATACAACAAATCTTATTCACAGTGAAACTGTTTGGTAGGACTGGAGGGAGAGGCTTCTAAGAATTAGGTGGTGGCTAAAGTGATAAATTACAGACTGAAAGTAAGTCCTCCTCCTCTTTAAAGTATACTTCAAAGATAACAAATCACTTTATAAATCAATACTTCTCCTGGAAAATTTTTGTAAACCACACATGACAAATTTTCCAAGAATATAATTCTCAATGCTTTTACATGTATAAAGATATCACAATGTTATTCTAAACTCTTACCGTTGGGTTAACATCCAGAATGCACATCTTTCCAGAGCGCATGACATCACGAATGCTATCAACCTTGGTTCCATACAGGTTACCTTCATAGTCTCCATGCTCAAGATACTTTCCAGCTCTGATGTCTGACTCTACTTCTTCACGACTTGCAAAGTGATATCCTTTACCATTTTCTTCACCTTCTCTTGGCTCACGTGTTGTGTCTACATGGAAGAATAATTTTTGTGTTTAAAATCTCTTGCAATCTAGGCTGCAGGGCTGGGCTCTAGGCCAGATGGGCATCCAGGAGTCATGTGACCATCCACTTTAAAGAAAGTTGTTTTATTTTTCACTTGTTTAAATACAAAATTGTTCATTTGAGCAGACCCTATAGCAATGTTTGGACACCCAATTTTCAAATCCTGGGCTTAAGCCTGAGGCAAGCAGTCTCTTCATTTCATACTATGCAATGCAAATACATGATTGTGAAGCCAAAGAAGAGTATTTTGGCAGTGAGAACATAACTGAGGAAAGAAGGAGAAACAGAGTATTTCAGTATTTCCCATTTCTCAGAAACAGGAATTTGAATAACAATGAAACTGCCATTATTTTTTCCCTGTCTCCTCTCATTTGCTTCTTGTTTCTTTCCTTAATTTGCATAATTTTAACTTTTCGAATCTACACAGAAGACATCAGAGACAAAAAATGACAGCATTCAGCAATACATGTACGTTCTACAGGTGTTATGCCTGTCACTTCCACTTCAAAACACACTGCCATACTCAAGATCTTTTTCCAACTTAGAGTAAAAGTAATCTAATCACATGATAATTTCAACCACAGAAACAGTGACTTTGCATTACGTACACCCATATGACAAACTCTTTGGTTTGGATTGCAAAATTTAATCACTAAAATGAAACATATTTCAGCTCTAAAACTGGACTGGAAGAAGAGGCCACAGATGTTAAGTATTACTTACGGGGAATGGTGGTACCAAATCTGAACCTGTCAGACAGGATCATCCTGTTTTTCAGTGTTCTTCTACCTACACCCTGAGCACCTGCAAACAAGTTGAAATTTGGTTGTACTCGTTGTTATGAAGAATCTGTATACTACAATCTTCTTTATACCACCCACCCTTTCCTATTACACACACCATCATTTGATCAAAAGACATTCAGAAAAACTTCATGATGCAGCAAAGAAGCACATTCCTGCAGCTCTCACTGAATGTACATGGAAACAAGTTTAAACCAAGGCAGTTTGGAACAGTATATTGTTTAAATAATAATTAATAGAGGATCCTGTTCAGAGAGAATGGATTATCAATTTAGCATTACTGAGAAACAAGTAATGGAGGAAATACTGAATTACCATAAACTCTGGAATTTATTTTCTCCTTCTTGTTATCTTCTTAGACAACCATGTTAGGATGAGGCTGATAGAAAGCTCATTCAAACTTCAACAGGTTTGAAGAAAGGGCTTATCACAAAATGGAATTAAAGAGAATGGGGTGGGAAACGTAAGGAAGTTCTATCTGATTTAAGTAGGAAAGGGGCTATCATGACATCAAATGTGTACTTCCTAGAGCTGTTGTTCTTTTAATAACAAAATCGTCTAGATTACATAATGACAATTTTTTTAACTCTGCCTCTTCCACTTTTTCTAAGTAGCAGCTTCTTTAAAAATCTATATTCCTTCACACATGTATCCTTACCCACAAGAACCAGTGTCTTGCGGTGAAAAGGTGGCATCTTGGCAACTTCTTCATAAATAGTCATTTCGTGTCTGTCAAAATCTAATTGAAATATGAAAGAGTTGAATACATCATCAAGAAGCACTTAAGTTATAAAAATATATTAATACATATATTTTAAAGAAATAACCAAAGGAAAAGGTCATCCACTCCAGGTATCCACTGTAATACAGAGCACATGAGCAGTCTCAACTCACCAGCATTTTTTGCTGACTTGTACATAATTTTTTGCTTCTTTTTACCACCACACACTGAAAATCAACACAACATTGAAAACTATCATTTCTAGTCATCTGACTGTTCAGTCAACTAATTTCAAGCACACCAACATGACGAAGGGGTGGAGGGGAGGAGTGGGGTGGAAGGGACGGATGGAGTAGAGGGGAGGGGAGAGGTGTCCATAGTTTTGTTCAATTCCTTATTGACTCCCATTCACGTAACCGTAACTTAGCATTGATCAACACGAAGATGCTCTGTATGTGTAAGTGTCTTTACTTCCAAACATCAGGATAATGAAAAAATTAAAATTCCTTCTGATTATTTTGTTTGATCTAAAAACAACTTACAAAATCCACTGCCAGGCCTGTCTTTCTTAACAAATGATCTTCTCCTAAGAATCAATGCAAGTACATGGAAATATAATATTATTATGTGTTAATACTGATGACATTGTATTGTTAACTACTTGTCAGCTAACTTGTTTTACTGGTAATAATTATTCATTAAAAGAGGCTCACAACCAGCTAACAACAGGGAAGCACAGTACCTCTCCTCGCAGATTTGACTTGGAATAATTCCTGCCTCATGAGAACCATCAGTTCTCTTTGCCTGAAATGAGAAAAAAATTATGCAAATTTCAAATGATAAAGTACCCTGTTTGTTTAATTAAGCACCACCACCAATTAAGCACCTGCACCGAATCAAGCACCACATGAGATCAAATATATCAAAAAGAACCACCCTTAATAGGCATCACAATCATTCTTAACAATGAAGCACTTAAGATGTTGAAGCATTTCCGGAATGAATTGTTTGAGGAGTCTAGATAAAAAAACAAATATAACCATCCTTGGAAATTATTCTCCTGAATTGCAATGTCTTCAAGTTCAAAATATTTTCATTTGGCTGGTAACATTTGCTTGTGAAATAAGTGTCACAACTGAAACACTAAAAAAATAATCCAGTAATTACGGAATATGTTGTCTCATTTTTGTACCTGTTCTGAATAATCTCATGTACAATAGTACAATGTAAATAAAGTACAAAACAACTTGAAGATTATCATTTTTGATGTTTGCCAATTAGTCTGGCAAAGAGACTGGTATTTTTTTCAGAGGTAAATAAGACTTGAAAATACTTACTTGCCACCAATTGGGATCATCCTGCTCAACAATCTGCAGTACATCACCATTCTTGAAGGACAAACCAGCATCTCGACATGGGATCATGCTGTCTTTTTCAGGGTCATAGTCAAAATGAGCACGAAGAAATACCTAAATGGTAAACAAATTGTACCAACTTGTTGGTAAATACTTGGTGCACAATAAGATACTATGATGTTAGTACATGCTAACTAAGTGACAGTTTGATAAGAAGCATTTGCCAAATTGCACAGTTACCTGTCTCAAGAAAGGTTGTTGCACATACCGTAGTTAACATGCTATTATGCAAATTAAATACTCATTGCTAAATAAACAGTTATATTATTACGGGTTTATACCTGACTCAAGGCAGGTGACTCCAGATTAGTGGGGACAACTTTGAGAAAGATCTTGCCTGTGGATTCACGCTGAAAAAACAAAATAAAACACAAAATTGAATTCTTACTTGGCTTTTAAATGGTTGTACATGTATCTTCCACATGAACTCCTAGACTGGCATTTATACAAACTTTTGTATTTTTTAAGTAGTAACCTTGTTCGATGTATCCAACATCATTATGAAGAAAATAAATTGTAGAATGTCAAAGTTATTACTCCTTATATTTCTTGTTAAATGCTTTAACAAGCAACTGACCATTCAATATTTTTAAGGATCTTTTATTTTTATTTTTATCAAAGTTTAAGTCTTACCAGTAAATCTTGCAGCTCTTTAGGATTTCCACTCATATCTCTCCCATTCACTTCTTTTATTTTATCACCAACATGAAGAAGACCTTAATAAATTGGAGAATTTCTTTTTTATTATGTTTTGTTACATCCAAAAAAAAAAAAGCAAGATGTAAATTTACCACATGAAAGCAATTCACTTTTACCATAGCATGTTAACAAAAAGCTACTGTCTTTTTGGGCATGAACTTTTCACAAGTTTAATTTAAGTACCCGAGACTGTCTCTCCTTTAATAAAAGTTGCCAATCATACCTTGTCTGTCAATCATCCCTCCATGAATGATTCTAGCAACAACAAGATCTCCTTTTTCAACAACCAATGTCATTCCCTATAGTGACAAAATTATCAAAAGAAAAAAATATACTATATGAATAAATACAAAAGTCACTATGATACATGTAAATCTTTAAATGTGAAAAACAATTTTAGCAAAAAAGGAAAACCAGTAAGAATTCTGTACAAAGACACCAGCAGCTAATGACAAGACTGTAAGTAGAAGAGAAGCTGAAACATTTGGTCATTAATTAATGGCTGTAAAACTTACCAGTGGTTTGTTAGGTTGTTTATGCAACCCGACCATTCTGATTGGCTGACCACCTACACCATTCGCTGTTCCAGGCTCGTTGCCCAGGCCAGGAGAAGGAGGTGGAGAAGCATATGTCTTAAATGCAACAGCATCATGAACTTCTAATAATGCCTGATAAAGTAAAAGATGAAGTATTATCATCATGTTACAAAAATTACCTGTGAACCTCCAATAATCTATCATCAGAACTCCATGGGCTTCATGGTTATTTAACTGAAAATTTTACTAGATGATCTCACAAATAAGCTTTAGCCTCAACAAGAAACAAAAGTTTACAGGACAAAGTGGCTTGGTGTCTGTGAGAAATTTGACAAACATGACAAAAAAATAAAATAATTGTGACAAATTAGGTGACTGTTAAGTGTTAAAGCTCACATAGCCACTGCAGAGTAGCAGCTGTCATTTTATAGAAAGCATTAAGTTGGTGCACCCTTGCTAAGTCCACTGCAGCTTGATATTTCCTGAAAATATTTATGGACTTAAAAAATCTTATACCATGAAATGCGGGTCCTGCAGGAGGCCAGACAACTCGGCAGCACTATCGTCACTTGCAACTTGGGGTTCAAGGTCAGTGTTAACCTGTAACGTAACATTACCATATATGTTAAAAGCACTCTCTAAAGTTCCAATTTTGCCATTAAAATGCTGTTCCAGGCAGTGAAAGAACAGTGAAAGACCTGCATTTGAATTTTCATTAAAGTTTTCCTTCACCTGCCCTTTGAGCAAGCAAAAGACAAAATAAATCCATCAGTCTTGACATTGTACAGTAGTTGGTCAGCAAAGATTTTTGTTCTTTTTTTCTGGTTTATTCACAGCAATACTTGTGTCTCTTCCATGGAGTGGACAGGTTTTCAAAGCATAAGAGTAAATTGAAGGACAGCGATTAATAGTGACTTGGCATTTCTTGGCACGGTAGTTCTATTTGGTCTTACCTCCACTGCAAGCTCAGCAGTGTCTTGTGTTTCCACTTGCTTGCGACCTTCTTCAAGTTTCTCATGTGCCTAATGAAGATAACAAAGGTTATACACATGTATACTGCATGAAAGATCATTGCAATAATTTTACGAATGCAACTTAGGTGGTCAAGAAAAAATCTTGAAACATTTCTAAATTTAAATATTTACATGCAGATATAAAACTGCCATGTATTATCAGAGACTGGAACTGAACAAGTAACTATCAGAAAGATACTTTAGGCAGTCTGTTTAATTTGTTTAGGCAAGTCTCTGATTGGTAAAAATTGACAACGCACAGCATCCTTATTCCAGCTGTGTGCATGTGCTCAAGGAAGAGTCCAGGCTACCACATGTAGGTACTTTTCTGAACAGCCACTAATAATAAGTCAAAGCAATGCATGAAGCAGTTAGTCTTACCTTGAGCCCTGAGTAATGACCAAATTTCTCAAGAAAAGCCATTTCCTTTAAAAAGTAGGCCATAACACTTTTTATTTGGCACTGAAACCTATGGGCTATCCTTCGCAGCCAATCAGAATATGTTTTCCACTTTCTGAGAAAAACTTACCCTGATAAGTTTCAAAACAGAAGCATCACCAAGAATACTTTTCAAAGCATTTGCCTGTTCTTCAAGGATAAGTCCTGCTGTCTGTGGATCATCAAGTGACTTTAACACAGTCTCCACTGCTACAGAAACAAGTGAAACAACAACATCACCTTGAAATGAAATCTTACATGTCAAGGATGGTACAATTTGAAAAAATATAGCCTGTTTTCTATTATTGTTCATATTGTTTCTACCTAGAGATTAGTTTAGAGGGTGATTTTGTACAATACAATAAAAAGACATCTTTAAATTATACATCTTCATTTCATTACAACTAACAAGACACAAGTACAAACATATATGTCATGGAGTTATCACATGTGCAATAGTCTACAATTCGTACCTCCCAACTTGCAGTTACAGATACATGCATTGAGATAAAGTGTTCTTCCCATAAACACAATAATATAATCAGGGGTGGATCCAGAAAATTCAGATAGAGAGGGCAAAAGAAATTGTGGCAGAGTGCAAGCCACTCCCTCCACTCAAATCAAATGAAAAATTCTGCTCTTAAGATGGTTGAATTTGTTTTTTCCAAAATACAAGAAAAATGGGGAGGTCACGGCACTTCTTAAATCCACCCCTGATAATTATTATTATTTTCATGTCTTTGTTTTGTTCTGCTTTTTCATGATTTGAAAACTGACGAAAAAACTGAAAAACTGACCAAACTGATAAGGATACACATGGAGCACTAAAGCAGGGAGTTATTTTACAAACTATATCTCATTATGAGCTGTGAACCCAGACATTCATAATGAATTGAAAACACCTTGGATCTTAATAATAAATTTGAAATTTATTAATGGTATTTTTTCTTATCAACCCATTCCAACAAGCATTTCATCTCCTGCAAATGAAGATTTATCTATTTACTCATACATATTTATTAGAAAATGTTACAGTTTAATAACCGAGCTTTTATCTACCCCAAACGTGATTTGCCTATATTCACTTTAACACAAGCTTATCAGTTAATTTTAAGTCAAATGATTGTCATTATTCAAATGATTTCTGTGGATACATGTACAAAGTGAACACCAGATGTTTTGGAGAGAAGTTTAATTCTCAATCAAGACTGAACACGTTAATAGCGGTTCAAAGTCTGATCAAAATAAGCCTTAACTGTACTCTTTTTCACGGGGCAAATATAAATTGGAACGAAATTGACCATAGAATTATCACTTGATGGAGAAAATTATATTACTTACACTACTTTAAAAGCAGCTGAAAATTTGTGGTATAATTATATTTTATTAGAAAAACAATTTTCGTAAACTTGGGAATTCGCCTCTGCAGCACACTGCACATTTAATAAACACTGTAAAACGGCAGGAATGGGATGGTCTGGATGAAATCAACAACCACGCATTGAAAGAAACAGGCTAAAAATAACATATCTGCCCCCGATCCGAACAACTTGTGGCACAAATTTTGGCTTGATTCCAAAACAGCGTTATTCTATATCTTGATAAATTCTTATGAATTGAGGGCAATCAGTGATCGAGATTCTCATAATGGAATGCAAAAGTGCAGGAAGCAACTCGATCAATTAACTCCTCCAACAAGGCCATTTCAAAACTACATTCAACCATGTATCGCTTAAACTATCATAAATATTTAAAGCTGAAACTCTGATTTAATACCTTGAGAGTTCTGCTCCTGATCTGATTCAGTTAACACTACCATTTTCAGGAGATTTAAAGTCCGAGATTTGCAAAAAGTTTGGAAGGTTGGAAGGCAGGATGGTCACAGGCCCTGCAAACGGACGCTTCGGTTCGCTTCGATAGGGTTGAGGAACATGCCAATCAGACGAACCGGAAAGGATCACGTGCACTGTGTAACAAAAACACGACCAATCCAGGGGTACTTACAGGTCCATAGCCTTTAGGTGATATGTAGTAAAAATTGGTTAATTAAGTCAGTTTACACTGGAAAAATAAACAAAACAGAAGGCCAGTGCTTTTTACTTTGTTATTTGAAGAACAAGTCTCTGAGCAAAACCACTTTATAAACGTGTTGTGACGTCCGTGAGGCCCCTAGTGACAAACAACATTTCCTCTCTACCCCGCTCAGTAGCGCAGTCATAAAACCGATATTCGGTGCCAGTTCCCAGAGGAGATTAATATTTTTCAATTTTACTAACAGTACTACATGCAATATGCATTCCAGGGGAAATGGAGCCGTCGTTATCGCTTGTTTACGATAAGAGGTTTCGTCCAGAATATCATTTAAGGAGGAAACAATATTCTGTAACGATCGAGATACATTTCATAGAGAAGATTGTCGTTTAGAAGGACACATCAACGAAGGTTTGCTCGATTTGTGCTGAGGAATTCTGGTTATGGGTGGACTGCTGCAGCTGTGAACTAATTCATTCAGTTAACGTGTGTTGAATATCAAAGATCAGTTTGACGTAAGTACGTTTACTTATTCCCTTAAGTTGATTTCGTCTCTGTTATGAACAAATGTTGTTTTTCCGAGTAATCGTCTTAGTGTGTAGACTTTCAAAACACAGACTTCTTGGGGGTAGCTGCAATTGAAGAAAGCTATACAAGCTTTATAATCTTTGACGCCCATTTCGTTATATAAACTTAATTGTGAAGATTTGTACTCACCGAGTAGTAGTGATCGACTTTCACTTGATATTAGACTTCACTTACCATCCACGTGTTGACAAGGTGAAATCTTAAAAGTATTAAACCTATTAATGGGTTAATCAAGTGAGGAGTGGCTTGCTTCACTGAAATTCGCTAAAAATCATAAAGGAAAAAAGTTGTGTTAATATATAATGCATTCGAACAGTGTACAATACATACCGCCCATATCAAAAATCACTGGACTAGACATATATGTGTTCGTATTTCCAGTTTAGATAAGAGTTTTGTGGGTACTGACAGCTCAGCACCTCCTCCCCACAGGGGATGTTATGTATCTTGCCATTGTCATTGTACTTTTTTTTAGGAAGAAGTCTTTGAGAAAATGGCAACTTTACAAAGTGCTTCTCCTATGTCTGAAGATGGCTACCCTGAACCACCATTATTACCAGGTGAACTAGTTGTTGCTAAAGCCATAAATGTGCTACGATTCCAAACAATGGCAGATAGGAAGTCTGGTATATCAGGAGTGCTCTATGCAACAAACTTCCGCATGTCCTTCTTGACAAGAAACCCCAGTGCAGAAACCCAACTCAACTCTGTATTTCAATCAAATCCAGATTTAACCGAAGCAGGGGAGATGTACTCAGACATGCAAAGAGAACTACACATTCCACAAACTTGTATAAGCGATATTTTCTACTACTCCAGTTCAACTGCAGAGGGATCAAAGGTAAAGAAAGTACTTCCAGGATCACGCATGTCATCCAAAGTCCATTCCTTGGAAATCCGATGCAAGGACTTTCGAGTGGTCAGATTTGGACTGAAATTTACACCCAAGAAAGATCACGTAAAGATGGTGAATGCAATTGCACATTACAAGGCACCAAACTCTATCGTTCTGTCATTTGCATTTCCATACAGTGTGGCACAGAATTCATCAGAGAACAGCACTGCCAGACTGAACACCATACCGACATTTAGAACTCTTCATGATTGGCTGAGTGAGTTGACAAGGCTTAAAGTTGATGACACATGGAGAGTAGCAACTGTTAACAGTAAATTCCAAACATGTCCATCGTTATCAGAGATGTTTGTTGTGCTCGCTTCCTTATCAGATTCAGACATAAACAGAATGTCATTACATTATGTAGATTCACGGCTTCCCACATGGTGTTGGAGTCATCCCAATACAGGGGTACCCATGCTGTATAGCGGAGCAGGAAGGTGAGTTGAATTATTACCAAATGTTTTCAACTGCAATAATTCTTACATTTTGAGAGTTATTATAGAATGCTTTACATTTGTTCCCCAACCACGATTCAAGTACAGTGTACTTGTCTTTTTTGACTAGAAAGCAGGCAGCTCTGCTTAATACTTTCAAGCCTTCTTAGGCTATTGTCCAGCATCCACTTGGTGACACCTCAGTGGCGTGGCAAACCCCCTCCCCCCCCCCTTTGTTTTCACTTTTACACACTTTATTTCAATTCCATAATTTTTTTTAAACAAACCCTTTTACCGATACAGCAGCCATTTTGAATTTCATTGTTTCAAGTAGCTATTATGGGATGCTCAGGGGGACAAATATATACTAATTTGTCCTCTGAGCATCCTATCCCATAGTAGTTAATATGTGAAACAATGGTACAGATGTGAAGGTGAATTAATCAACATGACACGAGCATGGGACAAAGAAAACTTCTGAGTCCCTGACAGGAATCGAACCCATGACCTCCCGAACACCGGGCAGGCACTCTATCCACTGACCTACAAGAACTCATGGAGAGCGAGGTCATTTAACTAAGTTCATATATGACAGGTGTCCTGCATACTGCTAGGATCAACGCTATTGAAGTCATCATGAGTAGTGATAAATTAATAAAGATGGTGAATTTTAAGCTCGGTAATGAAATGTGGAGGTGANAACATGACACGAGCGTGGGACAAAGAAAAATTCTGAGTCCCCAACAGGAATCGAACCCATGACCTCCCGACCACCAGGCGGGCACTCTATCCACTGAGCTACGAAAACTCATGGAGAGCTCATAGCGTTGATCCTAGCAGTATGCAGGACACCTGTCATATATGAGCTCAGTTAAATGACCTCGCTCTCCATGAGTTCTTGTAGCTCAGTGGATAGAGCGCCCACCCAGTGTTCGGGAGGTCATGGGTTCAATTCCTGTCGGGGACTCAGAATTTTTCTTTGTGCCATGCTCGTGTCACGTTGATTAATTCACCTTCACATTTCATTACCAAGCTTAAAATTCACCATCTTTATTAATTTATCAATGGTACAGATTCCAGCTGATGATTTGTGAGGGAGGGGTGCTGAGGCAGTGTGTGGTGCATTCTACCTATACTGCTTCACATTTATACTTTATCTAGTATGTCAGTACAACATTCTTCTCTCTTTAGACCAGAAAGCATATTTCTTGAGAAGGAAGAAACATCCTTCTTCAGAGCACTGTCATTAATTCCCTGTAACACTGAGCACAAAGAGGTGAAAGTCATCAATTTAATGAAGACTTGTCCATCAACAAAAGAGCTTCAACAGAGCTTCCAGAAACTCAGAGAGCTTTGTGTGCTGGAGACCAGCAAGGACTTTTGGAGCCTTGATGCCCGTTGGCTGTCTAGTGTGGAAACATCAAGGTACTGTCTTAAATTAAAACTACTCAATCAGAAAGATCTCATGAAAGCTCCTGACTGGTTGATAATACATTGAAATAAGGCAGAAATATTTTGTGAGTGGCATGTACAATTCTCACACAACTTGGTAGTCTCCATACAAGTTTGTTTCTATAGCATACAGGGACTAGGAGTATATCTACTCCCTATTGGATGGGATGCTAGTCCATTGCAGGGCTACCCCCAGTATTAAATTTGCCAGTACCCATTTATACATTTGGGTGGAGAGAGGCACTGTGAGAGTAGTGTCCTGCCCAAGAACACAACACAGTCTCCAGCCAGGGCTTCAGACTGGACTGCTCAATCTGGAGGCAAGTGCACTGACCACGCCACCACATCTCCGCTCTCACACAACTAATTGTAATACATAAATATTATGTATTATGGTTTTCTTAGTAATGAAGGATGGGGTGAATTGCTCCTCTTCAGCACTTTGTCAAGTTGCCCTAACAATTCAGTTAAATTTGTACTTCTAGTAAAAGGGGCTCTGTGAGAGCTAAGTGTCTGGCCCAAGAACACAACATAATGACACAGCCAGCACTCAAACTCAGACCCCCTTATTTAATAATAAAATAATGATGGCAACACACTCTACCATCACCAGGCAACAAAGGCTTCAGAAATCAAAAGTTTCTGAAAATCTAGTGAGTAAAATTAATTTCTCCAGAGTTCTCAAGTTGAAAGCTTTGCGCAATGAAATTAGTTGTGAAATTTTGTCTCAATACTTCAGGTTTGAAATATACAATTTAAACCATCAACACAATTCCTATTAATGGTGTTAAGAAAAGCATTGTGTCTCCTTTGGTTTCTTCAGATGGCTGCACTACTTGAGGCTGTCACTTGTCGCTGCTATGGATGTTGTGCAATCAATTTGTCATGACCGTTCACCAGTTATCATCAAAGAAACTGGAGGCCGAGATTTTGTGCTGGTTGTAGCAAGCCTTGCACAGTTGATATTGGATTCATATTACAGAACAATAAGAGGTTTCCAAACCCTTATTCAGAAAATGTGGGTTCTTGGAGGACATCAGTTTCTTTTGCGCTGCAACCACATCAGTCAATCATTCCAGGAAAGTGAGAAAGAAGATACTGGAGAGTCACCTGTGTTTCTTCACTTCATTGATTGTGTTTATCAACTCACTCAGCAGTTCCCATCAGAGTTTGAATTCTCTGAGACATATCTTCATGCTCTACTTGACACAATGCATGCATGCATGTTTGATACCTTCCTGTTCGACTCTGAGAAGCAAAGAGCAGAGCTGTGTGAAGTGGAGCTAGGAGGAAACTCCATGGTATCACTATGGGAGTTTGTTGCAGAGCAGCTTAAAGAATCTCAAAACTCTGGGCCGTATCTTAACCCACTGTTTGAGTACAGAAACTCTTTAGACCATGGTGAGGAAAATGGAATACACACCAACTCGTACCTTCGAGTAAACACTCTTGCTCCAGGCATCAAATTCTGGTCAGGTCGTTACCTGAGATGGCTTCCAACAGTTCATGTGAGTACAGGGATGGGAGAGAATTCTTCATTACAACTCCAACAGATGATCCTGGTCAATGAGCTGAAGGTGTTGCGGCATCGCTTGGCAGTCAGTAGGTATGAGCAAACTCCAAATGCAAACACCATTGATGGTGACAAAACTCTTGGCATAGACACTACTGATTTTGACTTCAGTACTGACCTTAGCTTGGATTTGGAAACAAGCAAGCTGCTCACTCCCAGCATGCCATTTATTGGTGATCTAGCATCAAATAAATACTACTCTCCGGGAGATTTACCACCAAATGGATCAGCAGACACAGTTGACATTGGCAAGTTTTAACTGTGTGCATACCAGCACAGATGGTGAAGACGTCACATAATTTATGACTGACTAATTAAAGTTGAGTAACCCGAGTGTTGCTTGGTATGAAGGTTTCACCTACATTAGGCTGTTGCATTGTTTCACCAAAGCCAAACAGCTCTTTGACCTGAGGGCACCATGTTTAGCCACAGTGCAATCAGTCAGTTTCGTCAGTGCCTATTCGCCTTCACCACAGGCCAAAGGGTGCAAAGCATATTGGAAAATGGAGTGTCCTGTTCTCTTTCAATCACTCATTAATTAAGAGGTAATTAACACTACTGGTAACACACTTGAATGTTGTGGGTCAAGTTGTCCTCAAGTCAATTGTTTCCAAATTATCGCTGTTAAACTTTTTCAACCTGAAAATAGCATCCATGATTAACACAATTTGAATTAATTCATAAAAATTACCCTTTAATGATTCAAATCTTTGTTGTGTTAATAAGAACATTTATTTTTAAGTTGACACAAATTAACTTCAAAAGAATTTGACTTACAACAGTTATGGGTGTGAACAAGATTAAAAAGAAGATACTCTTCTGGAAGCCAGTTTGTTTATATTATATTCTCAGGTAGGATGCTACAAAGCCATTCAATATGCTTTAAAATCAAAGTAGCACCCTTACAGCTACATGTAACCAGCATTTGAATTATCCCAAACTGATGGCTGTGTAAACATTTTGGTTTGCAACACTTAAATTAGGTCATAAAGAGAAACAGTGGTGGTAGGCAAATCTACCGAAAGTTTATTAACAAAAATAATGGAAATAATGAATTATCAATGGCATGATCATTTAAATTTTTAATAATGTTTGATATTTTTAAATTTTCAATTGTAAGCAACAAATGTTCTGGTAAAAAAGATCTCTTGCCATTATTTGAGCAGAGTCCATTTTCTCCTAGCATATGAGGGGAAATATACATGTCCAGTAAATTAACTTTGAACTTGTTCATTATTTTGAACTTGTTCATTATTTTACCATTATTTTACCAATAGGTATTCTTCAATATATTTTATTCAACTTGGGTATATAATTGTTAAATTTCACCTAATTCATTTTAAAGTTTTTAAAATTTTTATTAGTTTTGAAGTAGGCAGGTGTGTCCAGGATGTGGCTATGCAGTTGTATACAGGCCTTGTGATTGGCCATGGCCGCCTGAAATGAGGTCATGCGGTAGCATTTTTATCTTTTGTGTTTTTATGAATGGTATGCACTAGAAACCAAATATAAAATGCTTCCCAATAAAACACAAAATTAAGAAAGCTTATTAAACCACCTGTCCTTTAGGCATAGTGGAGTGATCTCATTTCATGCAATGTTGTACAGAAAAGATAACAACAGTGGAATCCCAATTTTTCAAACCTCCAAGGGAAACGAAGATTGCTTTGAAAAAATTGGATAGTTCGAGAAATCAGGGGTAAAATTACAGCATTTGACTGTGGAGGGGAAACAACTTTTGGTTTGAGTTTTCTGGAGGTTGAAAAAATGAGGGTTTGAGAAATTGGGATTCCACTGTACTTCATATTAATAGCAAATTGAAGCTATAATATAATTTTATGAGTTTTTATTTATTTCTTTGTCACTGGAATATACTATAATTACCATACACAGTGTAGAGAATAACATATACCCAATCTACCAATATAAATTATATTTCACATTTGTACCTGATTACTACAAAAAATATTCTGCAGCTACTGATTTCACAGTACTAGATGTTAGCTTAGCATGGCTCACTGTTCATGTTTATATTTTAGTTCATATAAGATGTTACTTTCACTGAGAATAACCAATCCCAATGTGACTGTTACATTGTTATTTTTCACGAGGTTAAGAGGTTTGCTTCTTTGGGAGAATTCTATCTTGAGATTGTAGTACATATTACATTAAAAGATTATTGAAAATACACCCAAATTGATGTTTGGAGTATTATTATTACAATACCTCTCTTTCAGCTTAATGCACCAGAAAACATTATGTTTCAGTAAAACCAAACATGAAAGGATAAAAGGCATAATCTGCAATTTCAAAAATATTTTGACTGGTCTTGATCTGCAGCAGTTTTTGGAGTGAAAACTGGTAGGAAAACACACTGCTGGAGATGGGAATATTTTAGTACCAGCTAAGGATTTGAATGTCAGAAGTATACTAATAAAATGATGAAAAATTAATCAAATTTGAACATTTTCATAGACTTTATCCTTTTTATTACACAAGGCAATGAGCTGATAATTTTTCTCATGAGACAACAATAAAGTTGTATCATATTAAGGTGGCTCAAAACAGTTTCCAGCACTTAGAATTTGATGGGTCATTATAACCACTCTTTATCACTTGATGCCACAATCATGGTATCAAAAAACTGCCCAATCATTAGTGAACACGTTGTTAATATTTTTGCGATGCAAAAGGTTACCATAGCAACAGTATGACCTAAAAATACCCTTAATTATAGCTTTGGGGGCTTATAATTTGAAAACAGCAAAGTGAAATTTTTTTTGTTTTATCAACTTTTGATAAGCATGATAAGATGCAACTTTTGGCAAAGTTTAAAAAAATCCTATAGGTAGGGTTCAGAGCTACCTTAAATTTTCGAAAATTTAAGGTGGCTCTGAACCCTACCTACAGAAGTGTTTTAAAGTTTGCTGAAAGTTGCATCTTATCATGCTTATCAAAAGTTGTTAAAAAAAATTTCACCATGCCGTTTTTGAATTATAAGCCCCTAAAGCTGTAATTAAGGGTGTTTTTAGCAGGTCATACTGTTGCTATGGTAACCTGTTGTGTCAGGAAAATGATAACGTGTTCACCCATGATTGGGCAGTTTTTTGATATCATGATTGTAGCATCAAGTGATTAAGTGTTGGAAACTGTTTTGAGCCACCTTAAATTAAGCTGTGTGTTATTATTTGAACTTACACCAAGGAGGGTGACTAGATTAAGATTTCTTCAAGTGCTGCACGTGAGCGATGTTCAGTTCCTTTTCAAATGTCAATGTGTTGTAAAAAACACAATGTTGGAAAGCTATACTTGATCCATTTAAACCAGGAGTGTATTAAAAGCGACTCACAACTGAAAGAGGGTCTCTTTATAACAACAAATTGATTAAAATTACAGTGGACTGATGTCACACGAAGGCATACCTCGAAGTTAAGAACTGATTAAGTATGGATGAAAGATAACACCAAGACATCTACAATACAATGAAAGCCTCTCTTTTGTTCTTAGTTCTTTTGTGCCCACTCTAGTGGAACCCAGTGCTCTTCTTTTTCAAGTTTTTCAAATGCATCCACCACACCGACATAAGCTTGTTCAATGTCCTTGTTCACTACTGTCAGATCAAAGAATCGCCCATAGGTATCTTCCAGTAAACTAGACTCACTGATCATCTCCTGTAACTCATCTTCCTGCAAGGATTGATTATTAAGTATTGACTGCCCACATATAACATGTAAATACCTTCTTATATGTAAACTTAATAAATATAATTAATCACTCTATTACAGATAATTTCTAGCATTACGGTAAATAACTGAGATACAAGAGCTCTTATAGTCTGTTCCGATCTGACATACTCGCCAACAATTAACGAAGGACAACCCTAATGCAACAGATGGCTCAGCTGCCAGACCAAGTTCCTGAAAAGTGGACTCCTACATGTTGTAGCTTGAGGTCTTGTTGACTAAGCTCATTTTAAGTGAATCCCTAACTTGATGTCTTGTCCTGAAATCTGCCGTGATAGTTTCTTACTGCTTAGCCATCTCTAACAGCTTCAAAATGGATCAACATTTCTTCAAGGGAGCCAGTTAAGCAAATAAAAGTCAGCTAAAGCAAGAAACTCAGTACCTGTCTTTTACTCGTTTGCTATTTTAACATTATATTAAGCTACCTTGAATGTTCTCATGGAGGATTTAACTGAAGCTGGTTTGCCTTTTTGCTGTACTGTCAATCTTGATGTGCGGAGTTCCTTCAGTGGAGGAGGTTTCACAAAGACACAGAATGGCTTAAACTCTGCTGTTCTTAATAACAACATCACCTGCAAAACGAATTCCCCAATAATCATGCAAAGAACGGGGTAAAGGACCCTCATATCTCTTAACTGAGTGGAACGACAGTGTACTTGCTTCAACATGGTAAAATTTTATAACCACCAAAAGGATTCATAATAACAAAAAACTTGTACCACTTTGTTTTTATCAATAACAATAATAAAAGATTGCCTTACCTCTGGTTGAACCTTTAGGACACAGGCTTTGCCAGATTTCATGGCTCTCTTTATGGAGTCCTTTGATGTGCCATACAAATAGCCTCTGTATTCACCAAACTCTATGAATTTTTTCTTCTGGATAAAATTCTCCATAGTTTGTCGTGATACAAAAAAGTAATCCCTTCCATCTACTTCATAACTCTTCATACCTCTTGAAGTATCTAAGGGAGCAAGTTCACATGACAGTGAGCACTAGAGTAAATGAAACTCTAGTACAATGTAGCTTTTTCAGTTTTAGTAGGAGACGATGTATGGGTTATTGACCAAGTGTGAGGTCAAGATGGCTGGATATTGGCCAAGTTCTTTTTTTTGCGAGTTGATGGACCGAGACGGAGTCGAGGTCCATAAACTCGCAAAAAAAGAACGANTCGGGTAGCCAATCACAGCGCAGGATTTGATTCATCTTGCCCGCTCGCGGAGCTTGCCATATAATAAGATAGGATATTGTGTTACCTTTGTGGTTCTTTCCGTATCTTTTACTGTAACAATTTCAGAATGTGGTCAAATGAAGTAACCTGCTGGACTGTAACATGTAACGTATGTGGCTAATATCTTACTCCTATCAATACAGAAATGATTATTCAGAAAGGAAACAATAAATTAAAATAAACCAAATGTAGTCATCAATAAAGCTGATGTTTGTATTCTGGAAGTATTTCTACTCCCACTGGAAGAGATAGTTGTCCACTGAAGGGTTTTCACACCAAAAAGCTCCTCTAAATGACATCACAATTTTCTGTGAGTCAGTGAGAGTGAAAGACTTGACGATGTCCCCATCCACTCAGACAGGCCAGCCAGCTGTTTCACAATTCAATAAATATTTTTGGAGCAGCTGCCATATTAAAAGGGATCTTGAAACTGAGCTCTGACGGCAATATACACCCAAACCTAGATAGATAGATTAACCATAATCTTGATAATTATGCAAATTATTGCTTCACAATGTAACATTCTACATGCCATGCCAGAGTCTTTATTTAACTACATTTATGATCCAAGATTAACATATATGCTATTACCAGCTGCTATTATTTTGACACCAGCCTTTGGTATTTTGTAAAGTCCTACTATCTAGTAACTTCAGTTTTAAAATTTAAAGTTATCTTACGAGGAATAGTTGTTATGAATTTATCAGGACTGCTTGAGAGTAGCATCTTCTTTAACTCATTTCGTCCAACCCCAGGTGCTCCTAAAGGTGATTATAAAACCAATCAAGTCTAAGAATAAACAATGTTCATAAAAAGCTTTTTTGCAACAAAATAGCGTCAAATAATTATGTTCAATATTTGAGGAAAAAAACAATTTATAGTACATTGAAGTAATAGTTTGTTTAGAGGCTGGACTGGGTAGCCTGGGTAGCCTGGGCAGTGCACAACCTGGAAAGGCAGGAATGAGGTCGGCACAGTGTTAGGGAGTAAGACAGAGTTAAGGCTGGGGTAGAATGGTAAAGAAGAGTGTCCAATATTATTATTAGAACAAAAGGGTAAAGGATAGGCAGGGAAGGGGATGGGCTATATGTGGCAAGAATCAAAGGAAACTACAAGCAAAATAAACTAACCTATTAATAAAAGCAATCTTTTTTTCCCAGGTGTTTCCAAATATTTCATTACAGGTTCATAGGCAGGCAAACCATCCACTTTCACATCTGTGGTTTTATTTGAAAAGTACAGGAATATTACTTAGAAGGTAAAGGTTAAGTCTGTATACATGCCAAGTGGCCCATCAGGCCGGAGCTTATTCCGCTTTCTGAAGCATGAGGCAGCCAACAGTATTTGTACACCCCTCTCACCCTGGATGGGATGCTACTCCATCGCAGGGTTACCCCTAGCATTAAATTTGCCAGTACCCAATTGAACACCTGGGTGGAGAGAAGCACTGCGAGGGTAGAGTGTTTTGCCCAAGAACACAACACAATGTCCCTGGCCAGAGCTTGAACCTGGACCACTTGATCCGGAGTTGAGCGCACTTACCATGAGGCCACAGCGCCTCCACCAAATTACTTAAAAGCATTTATGATTACCCAGTACTACTGACATTAACCATTGCAACAAGCTAAATTGATGCTGTACAAATACAATACAACTTCTATGCAAAGTGATGCACTGCAAATATGCGATGTACATTGTACTTACACTCAGAATACACAAATCAGGACAATCACAAGTGGCATACCGACCTTGCTGGAAATTGCACAAAATTTTGTTTGAATCAGTCTTTCTTCCTATCTTCTTGAACGGCAATGCTCGTTTACCTGTGGAAAATAAAATACAACAAATTTCTGTTACGTTACTTCTGTAGTGTAGAGTAGGGTAGTGTAGTGTAGTGTAGAGTAGTGTAGAGTAGTGTAGTGCAGTGCAGTGCAGTGCAGTGCAGTGCAGTGCAGTGCAGTGCAGTGCAGTG